CTCCGACAAGTTAGTGCTTGAGCATATTCCTTAGCATTTTCTTACTTTACCCAACTTGGCTGATGTTAGAGCCCCTCCCCTATCTCTCTCTTGCATATGCTAAGTTGAAGGGTGGTCCTGTCAATTTTTGACTCAGTCATCAGTTCTCAGATTGTTGCTGGTTTAATTCATGCCTCACCTCATTCACCCTCTTTTTTCTCTATTGATTCCTGTATAATTCCTTCAGGGAAAGTATTTCTGGGATCCAGCTGGGTGAAATGAACCTGAAGGCCTCATCTCAACTTTATCATCTGAACATGTTGTCTTTTAGAAGCTAAACTTCCCTCAAAACAGGGGTGAAATGCTACCGGTTCGGGCCGGTTTCCCTGAATCGGTAGTATTAAAAAATGCTAAAAAAGTTTTTAAAAAGTTCCAACCATCGCTTGACGCAGCTGATTGTCGCACAGCTAATTGTCAGAACTTTTAAAAAAACTTATAAAACATTTTTTTTTTACTGGTGGTTTGGGCGAATAGGTAGTAAAAATGCTTTGAAAAGTAAAAAAAAAAATAGTTCTGACAATCGCGCGGCACAGCTTGATTTTTACACAGTTGATCATCGGAACTTAAAAAAAAACTCTTTTAGCATTTCTTACTACCTATTTGCCTGAACTGGTAGTAAAAAAATGCTTTTATAAGTTTTTTAAAAGTTCCGATGTGCGTTTGGTGTGCATGTGCACGCAAAGCAAAACAATAGCAGACTTCAGAGCATTTCACAGGTGAAAAAGGGGAAAGAGTAATTTGCCTAAGGCTACCTGCAGCGGTGGGATTTAAATAATTTAGCAGCTGGCGCTCTGGCTGGGTAGTTGTAGCTGTGTGGTCATGTGAGTGGGTGGGTGTGGTCAATTCAACATCACTCATCACACCCAGCATCTCCTCCTGGCCACTTGCCTCAAAGGCAGAGGTAGGATTCAGCAATTCTGACCGGTTCGGACTAATCCCACCACTGGTTAGCCCTGCCTCTGCCCATTTTTTTGGCCCATTTTCCAGCCATTTTCAGGCCCCTTTTTGTCCCCTTTTCAGGCTGTTTTTCAGCCACTTTTTGGGCCAAGTTTAAAAAAAGGTTCTGATGTGCATTTGGCACACATGGACGTGCAAAGCAAACCAGTAGCAGACTTCAGAGCATTTCTGCCTCAAAACCAAATGTTTGCACATCTTATTTCTACAACCGTAGGGAACATTTCATCTCTTTGGGGGTCCTTTTCTGATGGGAACAAAGCCATGAAGGTGAAATTTAGTTATGTGGAAGACCATTCAAATGTGGTCTACTTGTTAGTTGTGCTACTCAAAACAGTTGGGCTAGGCAATTTTCATGATCATCCACATTAGTTCTTGGAGCCCATGATATCATGCTACATCTACTGCATGGAAACCTATAACTAGAACCCCTGGGCCTTGTCAAGAACACGACACCATCACAACATGAGCAAATTGGTTATGAGACTCATCAAGAGCAAGCCAACACTTCCCTGGCTTTCAGGAGAAAATTAGAGGAATGGAAGACTCAAGAAATGGCAATCAGCATCCTACAGCAGGGATCTCCAACCTTGGTAAGTTTAAGACTTCTAGACTTCAAGTCCCAGAATTCTCCAGCTAGCCATGCTATGGAATTCTGGGAGTCCACAAGTGTTAAAGTTGCCAAGGTTGGAGACTGTGTCCTACAGCATGAAGTTAATCTCCAGCACCATCCCAAGGACACACTCAAGACATCATTAATGACTGGAGCAAAACACAGGTAGACACATCTAACTTGACCTTATGGTTTCTTCAGGAGTATTTTAAGTGTACAGCATGACTTAGCTGCCAAGAATTGTAAGTGAGACCCTTCAAACACCATTTCCATCATTTATATGAGCACCAGACACGCAGCAGAGCTCCTTGATCCAATTTAATATCTCAGTAGATTTGGCCTTTATTAACTATTACCTCAGTGACCATCTGGTTTCCCAGTTACCAGTTCAAGGGAAGAGAGTGTGGCAAGTGGAGAGTGGAATTGTACAGTGACATGAATTGAACAGTGACAGGAAGTGGATCACTGCCAGCTTCTTTCGCTGGTCCATTACTATAAAATCCTTAACAAGATTTGATATCCTGCAGAGTTGATTTATTATTTTCTAACTGTTATTTATGAGTTACCCTAATACAGAGGTGGGTTCCTACCGGTACAGTAGGGTTCAGCCAAATAGGTAGTAACTCCGGCAGACACGTGACCGTACCGGTTCTATCCTCAGCGCTGCCATCTTTATTTTATTTTTCTTCATTGAAAAAATGTCATCCCCCCCCCTTTTAAATGGTATGCACATGCCAGTCCCAGAAAGGTCCCAGAGATGGGCCATTTTTCGCAAAAACAGAGGCATTTTTGCCTTCCCCCCAGCCTCCGGAAGCACTCTGCAGGCTTCAGCAGGGCTGGGGGAAGGGATAATGCCTCCATTTTTTTGCAAAAAATGGCCCGTTTTCCACCCATGTATTTCAAAAACGGGGGCATTTTCCCCTTCCTCCAGCCCTGTTAAAGTCTGCAGAGTGTTCCTGGGGACCGGGGAGGACAAAACCTTTTTTCTTACCGGTTAGTTTGCAGGAGCTCCCTTAACTCCTGCGAGGGTGGAGACCACCAACTTCCAGTCAAAACTTTTCACCACCATTTCGGAGGGCATGGCTTGGTGAGGGGGTCATGTGACTGAATGTGTATGAGTGACATCAATTTGGCCATGCCCATTCAGCTACATGCTCCCCCCCCCCTCATCTAGCCATGTCCACCAAACCGGTAGTAAAAATTTTTTGAAACCAATCCCTGCCCTAATAGGTATTAAAATCTAGAGCCCAGCTGCTTCAGGCAAGCTTTTTCCATAGAAGTTTTTCTTCACAGACCCAACCATAGCATATCCTGTTGATATGGCAGAGAGTATTTAGGGTGTGTTTGGGTTCAACTCCGAGGTGTTTTTGGGCTGATAATTTGGACTTCATTGCATTGGTTGATCTCAGAGCTGGATCTGGTTTCAGATGTAATTTTATCACAGTTTGTGCTTTACACTGGAGTGCAAGATCAGTGATACTGGGAAAGCTGCCTTTTAGGTTCTCTTCTCTGAATATTTTAGCTCTTGAAAATTATGTTATTACACTTTCTGTGACAAAAAAAATCTCTTGATCTGAATCCTCAGAATGCGCTCAGGTCTCTTTCCAAATATTTCAAGTCTGTAGCTACTTATCCCACTAAAAGAACAACATGTTGAAAGTTCAATGTATCGTTATTTTAGATGTTCCAATATCCCTCAGAAAAAATATAAAAGGTAATGTTTTATCATTATTTTGCACACAAACCGTCCGCTCCCCAATGTTGGGTCTTGAGCAATTTAAAAATGTTGGGTCAAGACAGATGGGTCTTGAGCAATTTAAAAAAAAGATCACAATTCCCTTTTTAAAAAATCAGGGAAGGTGGAAGTGCTTTATCTGGGCAAGTTCAGGTTTGTTATTATCAACTACTACTCTACCTGCCCTGTTTCCCTAAAAATAGGATCCAACCAGAAAATAAGCCCTAGCACAGAGGTGGGTTCCTACCGGTTTGGCCTGCTTTGGCTGAACAGGTAGTAATTTGGTGGCTTGGGCTGCTGGAACTGGCAACGATCCAGGCCTGTCATGCCCCCAAACTGGTTCTCTCGNAAGTTGCCTTCGGAAATTATGGGAGCTTCATCACTTGAGACTTTCAAGAAGAGATTGGACTGCCATTTGTCAGAAATGGTGTAGGGTCTCCTGCCATTTGTCAGAAATGGTGTAGGGTCTCCTGCTTGAGCAGGGGGTTGGATTAGATGATCTACAAGGTCCCTTCCAACTCTGTTAATCTGAGAAACTCAAGAGACTTTGAGAAACTTGGAAAGATGAACATGCTACCAACTTTCCTGATTCTCCAAGATTTGGAAAGAGCTGAACCAGGGGCACGTTTTGATATCTCTGAAGTAGATGCCATAAAAAAAAAATCTGACTTCAACTGCAGTATTTTGAAGGTTAGAATTCTATGTGGACTGAGCACCTGTTTTTGATTGCCTCTGAGTTCCTGGGACCCATTCAGCTTTAGATTTTGGGAATGTTTCCAAGCTCATTTTGTGCCAAATGTCTGAATTTAAGACTTTTCAAGTTCTTTGGTCTGACTAACAATTCCTGACTCAAGCTACCACTCTCTCTTCCTCATTTCAAGCAGCACGACTTCTGGTCCAAAGCCAGGTTTTGTAATTAATTTCTGAACATCTCCGAGTGAAAGTCTTGCCATTCTAATTTGAAACCAAGTTGGAACTTGTGACTCATTTTCTGCAGAATATATTCTGGAGGGAAAAAAACATTTTCCCATTGATTAATAAATCTGTAATTGAATAAAGTGCTCTCTCTTCCCACTCCCGGAAAAGTTCTTATTTATTTGGGTGCGTCAAACATGCCTGATAATGAAATTGAAGATGATGTAAAGGAACAAGACTAGAATTTATGTTCACTTTGTGCACATATTAATATTGAATTTTAAGTGTGGATTGATTGTAGTTAGATCTCTTTCTGAGTTACTGTTTTCACTTGCCTGTTCAAAAGGTCAACAAAGCTGTTAGAAAAAGGCTTTCCTGTCCAATTAGATACATCTACCACTCTAGAGGATGTGGTGGCTCAGTGGTTAATATGCTGTGCTTCTCGATGAGAAGGTCGGCAGTTCAGCGATTCGAATCCCTTAGTGCCATGTAACAAGGTGAGCTCCCGTTACTTGTCCCAACTTCTGCCCACTTAGCAGTTCGAAAGCATGTAAAAATTGCAAGTAGAAAAATAGGAACCATCTTTGGTGGGAAGGTAACAGCATTCTGTGCGCCTTCGGCTTTTAGGCATGCTGGCCAAATTGCTATGGAGATGTCTTCAGACAGTGCTGGCTTAAAAACAGAAATGAGCAGCCCCCCCTAGAGCCGGAAACAACTCGCATGCATGTGAGGGGGAACCTTTACCTTTTATCATTCTCCATCTCTAGTAGATTGCAACTGAGTCCTGATTAATATTGCAAAAAAGAACTATTGGCGAGTAACCAAAGTAAAAAACTGGTGCATATCCACAAAGTTTGTGATAAAATGGTATGCCATGAATATCCATTGTACAGACTGCAACTGCTTATATCTGCCAGTTCCTTGGGACAATCAAGGTTCCTTTTCAAGTTCTATGAAATGCAAAGTCCTGCAAATGCACAGCAAATCTTTTGATAAGAAGGAATGGAAAGGTCTAACCACGTTCATCATGTGGTTGCTCAACACAGGGGTGCGTGTTGAGACTCTATATTCTATATTGGACTGCATTCCAATTCACGCTAGCAATACTATCACTAAATTTGCAGATGATACCACACTGGTGGGACTCATCTCCGGGTGGTGGGGGTGAGTCTGCCTATTGAGATGAGGTGGACCGGTTGCTTTTGTGGTGTGGAGACAATAATTTGGCCCTTAACACCAATAAGACCAAGGAGCTTATAGTGGACTACAGAAGGAATAGATCAGGCATCCAGCCCTTGCTTATCAATGGAGACCGAGTGGAGCAAGTGACTAGTTTTCTGGATGTTGTCATAAAAGAGGACCTGACTCACATTGCAGCACTGGTCAAAAGAGTCCAGCAGAGATGATACTACCTGAGACTTCTCAGGAAACAACAACTGAATGAAAAACTGCTGGTGACTTCTACCGCTGCACCATAGAGAGCATTTTGACTTACTGCACCTGTGTATGGTTTGCCAGTTGTTCAGGAGCAGATAGGACAGTGCTCCAGAAGGTCAATGTCATTGCCCAGAGGGTCATTG